CCTGAGCTGCCACCGGGAGAGCCAGGATGGGCCGTTAGTCCCGGGCAGCCCCAGCTTGTCCCTAAAGCAGAAAACCTCCCCGCAGAGTCCCATTGCAGCCGGCCCCCCGCACACAGCGACCACGGGAGCCGGGGGCTGAACTCACAGGCCCCGTCGGGGGGAGCTGGGCCGCGGGGCTGCCCCAAGGGTGCTTGGTGGTCAGCACAGCAACGGGGTCACTGGGGGACAGGCTGGGGCAGAGCCCAGCTGGGAACCCGGGACAGTCCCTGAAGGCTGGACTGGACCCAGTCCCTGCTGCTCCGGTCGTGTGTGTTACAGGGACACCGGGAGAGCCCCTGGGCCGTGTGACGGGTTCCTTCTCCCGCCGCTGAAAGGCGCCGATGGGAACCGCTGGGACCGTTTCCCCTACAGCGTCACCTCTGCGAAACGGGGCCAGGGCCAGGCCGGGTCGGTTTTAACCCATTTCCCCTTTTGGAAAAGTTGTGAAATGGTCAGACATCCTGTTCCAGCGTTTTCGATGTGAAATCCCCTTTCTCAGCTCAAAGCAACTTTTCAGTGAGAAAAGTCAGTGAATTTATGGGAAATAAATGTTTAAAAAAAATCAAAGGTCAAAACTGAAACCAAACATTTCCAATTTCTCAAATCAAAGTGTTTTTTCATTGACCTGAAGAGAAATAGCTTTTGGGTTTTAAGTTTGTGAAAGTTTGAGATTCCAACTTTTCATCCTGCTGCGGGATGGGAGGGTGTTTGGAAATCTCAGCGCTTTTCCCAGGCTGGGAGAATGGTTTCCTGCTCGGCTCTCGTCCGACCCCAGAGAGGAGCAGCCGTGGGGACAGAGGGAGACTGAGACAGACTCGTTCTATGCCAGGTGTGGAATACGAGAGATTCCCTCAAACCACCAGGAACCTTAAACATCTCATCAAAAAGCGACGCAGAAAATCGGCCCCTGATTGGTGGAGATGCACAGAGCTGGCCCCGCGCTGCAGAGACCTGCCCCAGCTCAGGAACGGACACGGGGATTGAGCCCCAAATGCAGCATGTGACCCCATCCTGGGCGGAGAAGGGGGGTTGTATGTGCCCCTGACAGACACCGCGGGCTCTGGCTTCTCCTCACACCTGGCAGCTCCCGGCCGCTGGGTCCAGCCAGCGAAGTGTCCGTGGGGTGAAGGGGCTGAGCCCGGATTGGTAATGGTATCAAAGGCAACGGGAGTTGGGCCCCTAAATCCTATAGCACCCAGGCCTGGAGCCCCAGCTGTGCCGGCCGTGGGGAGCGGGAACCCAGCCAGCGCCCGGCAGAGCCTCCTGCAGCTTCCCTCCTTCCTGGCTAACCCCATAACGCCACGCTCCAGTGTCCACCAGGCCGGAGGCAAAAGCCTGCCCCCGGGGGTAACGAGAGACGGGGTACCCGCCAAGCCTTGCCCAGTGGGGGCTGAGCTTGGAGATCTTGGGGTGAAAGGCTCCTGTTCATTGGGTACGAGCCCGCCCAGCCCCCCGCAGCCCGAGGGGCTGAGCCGGGGAGCGCTGGACCCTGCTTGCTACAGGCTGGTCGCGGGGGCACCGACCGGAGCGGTCTGGGGCAGGCCCCTTTCGGGGGACAGGGGGGGAGACGTGTCTCATTCCCCCAGCTGGGAGCAAAGCCAGCCGGTGTCCGAGTCCTCGAGAGGCCCAGCTGTCGGGGGCCTGCAATGGGGCTAGGTGGGTGGGCACAGCGTGGGGGCCGTGGGTGATGGGTCACCTGGCTCCGGCTGCCATGTCCATGGGCATCAGTCCGGTCCCCGCCCCGGGCAGGAGATGCAGCCGGACGTGCTCGGCAATAGCGGACGCTGGAGACCCGCTCGGGGACGGTGCCAGTGGGGGTCCCACCCCTCCCCCTGCCCCGAGAGAGCCCATTACCCGGGGTCGCCAGCGCCTCCTGCACGCGGCAGGAGTAGCTGTGCCCGTCCCCGCCCTGCTGCGGGATCCCCACGGATCTCTGGAGCTGGGACGCGTCGCCAGTGGG